CTTCCTCTTATTTCACTGAAATATGTCAATGACGGCTCATTGTTAAGCCATTTTTTTATAAATTCATTAAGTATGTGCCACATCGAAGCGTTGCAGAGTACAGCTTTTTATAATGAAATTTTCTTATTTCAATTGATTTTTTTGTTAATTTTTTTATTTTCTTTTATTTTCTGATTGCACGTTTATAGAGTGATCTCTGCTCAGAATAGAAATGTTTTGAGTTCATAATGAGGACAGATAATTATATCGACATCTTTTAGAATTTTAGTAGCGCTTGCTGATCGAGCGATATAATTTTATGTCACTTCCGAATATTTAATAATTTTATTATTTTGGTTTTGTTATCCAAACCCCTCTTTTGATTCTTTAAAAAAATGTCTTTTGCATCTGTTTGTCATCCGTCTTCTTTTGATATTTCTATTTTATATGTATCTATGTATGTATGTATGTATAGACTCGTATGTACACGCTGTGTCCCAAAAATAACCGACGTTTTTGGATATAAAATAAAATGCACATTATATAATATTATCTTTGAAAGTTTTTATTTATTCAAAATAGGTTCCATTTGACTCAACACAAAGTTTGGAACGATCAACCAGCGCATGCATAGATTTTTTTATGTCATTTATAGAAATGTCCTTCAGTACCTCGGTTACGGCTGCTTGAATGGCTGGTTTATCATCATAAAATGCTCCCTCCATCTTGGTTTTTGGAAATACAAAATAGTCACATGGTGATAGATCAGGCGAATACGGAGGATGGTCGATGAGAGAAATCCCTTTTTTCATTAAAAATTCGAGCGAATTTTTGGTCGTCATTTAATTCATGTGGAACAAATCGCGCACAGACCTTTCTTTTCCCCAAATCTTCAGTTAAAATTCTCCACATAGTGTTTTTACTCGTATTTCATTCCTCAGCCAACATTCTCGTAGTAAAATTTGCATCGATACCAATGACTTCACGGACTTTTTCCTGCTCCAGAGACGTCATTTAAATCCTCACGACCATTTTTAAATCGTGCAAAACACGTATAAACTTGCGTACGACTCATACAATACAATCATTACAATAAACTTTTTTCATTAATTTTTTTTCAAGTTAGACACAAAATTTTATATTTGCTCTTTGTTCCATTTTATTTTTGAACCATTAGCACACTTTTGGTTTTATTGAAATGGCTGTCACTTTTACATCTGATTATGAATGATCAATAGATGACGCTGTATATTGTATGATTTAAATATAAAGTTCGGTTATTTTTAGGACACACCGTGTATGCATAAAACTGCAATCATAATACAAATTGACTCACACACATCAACAGATAAGTGCGTGATGTAATATGAGTGAATGGTTGGTGAAGAGGAGCTGTCAGTTAGCGTACGTCATGACGCATCAACGATAAGCGTTAACTGTGTTACCAACATGACAGCTGGCAGCGAAACGACAAACGCCAACAAGACACCAAACCAACAAACAAACAACAACTGCAACTGCTGATGAATGGGTGGGAAATGCATTGTGCCACGCGTAGGAGACTTGGTGAGGCGGGAGACAGCTGTACATCAGCACAACACAACACAACAGAACAGAACAGAACACATCACTCATTAATTCCTTCATTCATTCACTGTACTCGTACTTGCATAACAGACTCGCTGGCTGTTGATTTGTGCGTGGCATTCATTGTCCACCGCAACGTGCAACAGATGAACAAATGTGCGACTAGATGGATGGATGAATGGATGTATGAAATACTTATTTGTGAATTAACAAATGTTTTGTGGTTAATGAGGTTAGTTGGTCTAAAATGGCATATCTCAGTCGTATTATAAGATTGTTGAGAATTACTTAGTTTGCATTGATTGATTTGAGCAGAGCAAATGCTGGAGTCATAGTTAATTTGGCAATAAAAAATCAATCGTAAAAACCGTCTATTTTTTTTTGTAGAACTGCGATTACAAGAACAATTTTATTAAAGAAAACACTCAAGAAAAACTTCATGTTACCTTCTAATTTGGTGGAGGTGGTAAACTCCAGGGATAACAAAGTGAAAAATAACTTTGTCGAGGCAGCTCTCTTCCGTGCTGTCAAGTACGGACTTGAAAGTATAAGAATGATTAAAATCTAGCTACGCTGATGGAAGCAGAGAAAGAAAAGCAAGGTCTCCAGTCCATTGGAAAGATAAGAGACGATTGGGGAGTTGTTTTTGCAGTGTTGCTTACGTCAGAGAAATAAAAGAAGTCTCAAGAGAACAATTGAATTCCAATCACCAAACTATGCTATGAAACTGCTTTTCCAACTTCGTGCGCGGTAGCCGAGTGGTTAGCATTGCGCACTGACATTCGGAAGACTCGGATTCATATTCCGGCGCCACTTGACATCCAAAGGTTATGGAAAATTAATTAAAAAAAGGTAAAATTTTCTAATTGCGGTCGCCTCTCGGCAGCGAATGTCCACAACTCCGAGGGTTTTTCGGATGTGAAACAAAAGCTCCTCATAAAAAAACCATAAGCCGTTCGGAGGTGGCTTAGTATAAACTGTAGGTTCCTCCATTTGTTGGAAAATTATCAAGACGCAAAGCCAAAAATTGGAGGAGGAGCTCGGCCGGATAATCGGTATATATATATATATATATATATATATATATATATATATATATATAATTGCCACTTTGTAATCGCTGTACCGATTATCCGGCCGAGCTCCTCCTCCAATTTTTATATATATTATATATATATATATTCCAACTAACATAATTTGATTCAGATCGGGTGCTTTATTTAAGCCGGAATAAGTATTTCGTCAATGAGCTCAGCTAACCTACTAAGATCACGAATATTCAGACCTTTCCCAGTCAAAAAAAGCCAAAGTTTTTTTGCTTGCAAATTGCGGCCTTAATGCCTTTACTTAAACTGGAATCAAACGATATGCCAGTGGTGCCCTTGGTGTACGACCAATTAATTCCAGTATTGGGCAATACTTCCCTTTTTATGGGTTCACTGCAGTTTTCCTGCTAACACCAGCTTCTATTTCTAGTTTGTCGCAAGGAAATTGTTTCGTCTCAAGTTACATTCTCCCGTACTCAAGAATAATCTCAGAGAGCAGTAGTATTCGTCAAGTTTATTAGCGAAGGTACACACCCTCAAACAAGTGTTTTTGTTCAAAGCTATTCCAGCCTTTTTCGTGGAATCTTAGTCAACGTAAATAAACAAATCGTTTCAGCAGACACCTGAAGCAAGTCTTCCCAAATCTATGTACCGTTGTGGCTACCGCATTTTACAAAAAATGTGCTCAAGTACTCCAAAGTGCCCGTAGCACGGACACAAGAGTAAAAATGGAGGACACATAAAGTAATTTCAACCAGTAGGGCAATTCTCTATCGTATTATAACGATTTTCGGATCGTTATAATGACTTAACGATAATTTTAACGATTTTGCTATTCTCTAAAATGGTATAACGATTTTCGGATCGCAAAGAAGACTTAGCGATAATTCTAACGATTTTAATATTCGGTGTACTTGTTTTAACGATATTCGCTCTCGCTGTTGTCGTAAACTACTCGAAAAATCGCTAACTAAGCGACGAATATTTTTAAGTTGTTAGCGATATCGACAAAATTTTGTCACTTCATATAAGAGAGTAAAGTGTCTAAGTAATACAAAAATAAGAATAAAATAATAAAAAAATGGCTTTTGAATATTTGGCATACGATTTGTCACAAGATGAAGAGGATGCTACCGAGATTCGCCGGATTTAATTGAAAAAATCGTTTCTGAACTATATTGTCAACTAAAAGGAAGAAGAATAACAGCATTGTCTACCATGCAAATGGTGAGAGTAAATTTGTTTCCGATTACTATTGAAAGTTAATTATATTTTCACATAGATATATGGTCCTTATCGCAAGATTATACTGGCAAATGCCAAGTACCCAAGAGCGCGGCACAATTATTTTATTTGGAGCTCCCCTATAGAGCGAAGAGTCATACATGACAGTGCAAACCATAACATGATTTTGAAAAACTTTGTAATGCATTGACATTCTTTTAATAAAAATAATTTCAATAACAAATTTATTTGTTTTTGTCATTCCTCTTTGTGCTTTTTGTACATTTTGACGTTTCGTTGAGCTGTGGTGCCACCTTTCCTACATTTTAATAGAATGGAAATGTGCGATGTCGATTATCGTAACAACTGCGTTAGAGAATCGCATAATCGTTAGCGCAAGCGACAAAATTCGTAACTTTGCGATCCGACAAATCGTGTCGATAAAAGTTACAGAATTGCACTGCAGCTCTCAAGGAGCGCTTTATCTGATATACTTAAGCTCGATTTGCCATTTTCTTGTTCTTCTTTATTGGCGTTGGTACCGCTTATGCAAATATTCCCCTTCAGCACTGTTTTCTGTTAGTTGAAAATACCAGAAGAAGACAAGTCACTCTCCACCTGAACCTTCCAAAGGAGTGGAGTTCTTCCTCTTCCTCTGCTTCCACCATCGGGTACTGCATGGAATACTTTAAAAGCTGGATCCACTTTCATCCATTCGGACGATATGACCTAGCCAGCATAGCCGATATTTCTTCGTTCGCTGAACTTTGTTAATATCATCATAAAGGTCGTACAGTTCATCGTCTGCGGAATTGGCCGTTGCCAATTCGCAAAGGAGCATAAATCGTTCGCAGAACTTTTCTCTCGAAGACTTCCAGGGCCGACTCATCAGATCTTGACATTGTCCACTCCACTAAACTTTACTTTTCAATCGCTTACTCAGCTGGGTTGCGAATGCGATGACTGTTTGCTTGATGACAGGAGATATTTCGTTTTGCCCTCGTTCACTACTAGACCTATTCGCTTCGCTTCTTTATCAAATCTAGAGACAGCAGAACTCACGACGTGGCTTTTGGGGCCTATGATACGAGGATTTAAACTTTTTTCATCAGATCTCTCTTTACAAAATGTTACTCCTTTCAGGTAAGCAAGTAGTAAAATAGATTGTAATTTAAATTTGTTTGCATTTATTGAAATCAATTTAATTTCGTTTCTGCCACATCAATACTCCAACTTTAGCAGCTCGTATAATGGGATTTCCTGTTTTGTAGTCAACTTTTCGGTCTTCTTAAAGAAACCAGTTTTCTCCAAATATTTTGGTCTCTTCAAATGTGGTCTTTGCTGGTAGAAGTCTTTAAGCGTCTTTACCGAACGCAAATGACCGATGCCCTTGAATAACTTTGCACCAGAGAGCAGCTCGTCAGGAAATACAGTTGTTATGAGGCGATCACGATCCATAGGCACCCAAGGACGTTCCTCATACGGCACCGTGCGTCCAAAAGCGACAGTTATTACTTTCTTTGGTACATTCTTTAACAAACTCTTAATATAATTTTCATACTTCAGCTCAATGGCCATCTATTGGTAGTGTGATGAAATAATGTGAGTACAAGTTTTGTTAGCTTGAGCATAGACCCGAACCAGACCCAAATTAAACACAAACCTCTGGTAAATTCCATTTGTCCGCCACAGCTTTGGCAATGGCCTTCACCTCCTTCGGCTCGGTTTGTATCGAAGCTAAAAGACGACGGTCACCCTCAATTGAGAATAAGGATTTCAATTGAGCTTTCGATATGTCTGTTTCGCGGTTGTTGCTGACAGAATTGAGCCATTCGGTGAAACGTTCCGCTGACTATGCAAGAACATACACAAATTAATTACTTCGTAGAGCGCATGTGCTGGGAATGTTTCACAACCTACCGCATCCATTAGACATTCGGCTTGCTCGTCCAGCGTTTTCTCTGCCAAACTACGTTCGAGATGATAAATCTTCGAATCCCACTTAACACGCTCACGTCGCGGCTTGCAGATGTAACTTGAAGTCCAGTTGATTGGCTTTTTGGCTTTCGCTTTACGCTCAACGCCAGTATCGAGCTTCATTTCGAATTTGACAAATTCATTCTCCATGCGTTCGATCTCCGAACAGGTGCTCTCATTGAAAACGGCCTTTGTGAAAAGAAATTGTAGTTGTAAAGCATTGAACAAAAGAGTGCTACAGATTAATATCGCACCTTCTTTTTCGCTTTTCTGTGCATTAATTCATCCTCGGTTGACTCTTCGGTGTCAAACGATTTCGGCGTTTCCACCGCTGATTCGGCAATATACACCAAACGATCGTATTCGTCAAATTCGTAGGGCATTATCTTCTTAACACGCTGCTGGAGGTCCTCTGGCAAGGTGACAGACAAATCATAGTCTTTGATGAGGTCCTTGAGTGTTTTCTTATGTGCTGCATCCTCGATTTCCTGTATCACTTCCCTCCAGTATTCTTTATTGAGCAACATCCTTCGGCGAAAGTGTTTAGTTAATGAGAAAATGAGAGAAAATCTTAAGAAAAATATAGCTCCGGCAAAAAAAAAAATGTGTTTTATGAATGGTAAAAACGTTTTTATGCAAATGTCAAGTTTTTGATTTCAAGTTGGAAATTTTGCTTAAGGGTTGAAAATAAATGAAATTGTCGTTTGTTAGTCTCCAAGGCAACTTTGAATATTTGTTTGCATGTTTGCTTGGGATTGGTCGCTAAAAGCTCACTGGCAGTGTTGGTTTGTGTCTTAGATAAGTCTTTTTCACTGTTATATTTTTACGTTACCGCAGGCAACTGTTATACAATATATCTAAACCCAAACACTTAAATTCGAAATTAGAGAATATAAAGTGCTAAGGCGTGTTTCATATGCCCACGTCCAGGCTACGCTCGGATGCGGATTTCTCGCAAAAGGCTAGAAAGTGATTCAGCGTTATTGACAAGTGGTTGGACATAACAATATACCGGGTAATGAAATGACGGGCGAGCTTGCAAGGCAGCAAGCTTTCCTTCCACTTGCATCAAGGGAAGGGCTTGGCAATTCGCTCTCTGCAATGCGGTTATGAAAAATGAGGCTTGCATAGGATTAAAGAAGGTCACGAGAGCTTATCCCCATATTAGAAACGGAGATGTCAACAATGATGAGCCTTCTTACTTTACATCTGCTGAGGCACTTTTGTGAGAGAGAAGTTTCGACAACATTTACAGCTTTCCGCATAATAGCAGATGTAAGGATCGACTGCTTAGTTCTGCAAACACCACCCCTTGGAAATTAGAGGATAATTTGGATCATTAGTGGTATCACAGTGTAGTCTCAAGAGAGCTTATGCCCGCCAGCCACAAGTATGTTGGCTCCCCATTCCGATTTAAGCCATCTGCTGGGTACAATATGGTTGCCGGACAATACTCTGTGGACAATGTATGGCCTTTACAGTCCTTTATCGAGTCTCGGCCACCTCTCAGCTGGTTCTTTGCCAATATGGTTCGCGTTACATACCAATAGGATAGTCATACCCAGTACAAACAAAAACGAAGATTCTTAGAACAATTTTTCGAACGAAAACGAACACTCGAAACGAAAGCTAGATTCGCCGGTTACAGAGTCCATACTTCTGATGTGCCGCGGGCAAAGTGATCAACTTGTAAACTGTTAGTTTTGTCTCTCTGAGTCTTTCGCAATACCTTTTAGCAATTATGATTCTTCGCTGAGCCTCCATATTGACAAAAGTTTAAAACGGTTCACCGATTCCTGTCACTTGTAGAACGTTTATATGTATATCGTCAGCTAATATACGCCAGGTTTGCAGCATTACTGCTTGCATCACAAGACGGAAATGATGGCGCTATAGAGGGTCACCTTTTCAGAAAGCTCAAACGGTATTAGAAGCTTTGAAGCGGTCCGTTCTTACTTTCACAGAGGTGAGTGTGTAGTTCAATGCCATTTTGAAAACACTAATGAGCTTCGCAGGAATACGAAATTCAGACACAATAAAGTACAGGTAATCCCTTTTCTTGCTATAGAATGGGCCTTTTGCTCGACAAAGAGATGACGTGTGTCGATCTGAACTTAGAAGGTCTGAAGCCGCACTGGAAAGGTGCAATCATTATGCAGCCGAACGGCTTTAATTTTAGGCATGGAGAGCTTTACAAAGTCTTGCAAAATATCGAAATAGGACTGATTCCCCGGTAGTTGTCTCATATAGGCGGATCATCTTTTTTTAGTCTGAGACGAAGGATATTGAGTTTTTAATCATGGAGCACGCCCTTGGCTTGCCATAATTTTCAACTATACAGGCATAATTGCATTGGATAGCTTAAAGAATATTCTGGAATCAAGTGCTCCATCTAGCCCAGACATGCTTGAAACTCAATTAGATTAGTTTGACCTAATGTAGATTTGTCAGGGGCGCAACTGGTTTTAATATTACTTTGGGGCATAAAAGTTCTCTCTGGCTACTGCAGTAAGCTGAAGCAGTTAGGTGTCTAGAAGTCTTTTCCTGCAAGAGAAAATTGCCAAGGGGGCGTTAGTTGCATTTTACTCTTCTTAAGGTCTCACCGGAATGTCCATAATCTCAGTCGAAAAATTTGGTATTTGAGATCATAATAAAATTCAATAAGTTTTGTGAGTTCTTTATCAGGTGGCGGTCCCTGATAAACTAAGTGTATCAAAACTTCGTCTCCTCAACATATACACTCAAAGGACTAGTGATTTCACTGTCGAATGACCACGATGAAAAGTGCTGCATTGTTAAGAGGAACTGGAGAAACCTGCAATAGATGGCGCTATTTATCTGTATCTCACGTTGTAAAAGTCCGATCGGGTTCCGCTAGATGGCGTTAGAAAGATGAGGCTTCGTTCTAAAAAAACTTTTCTGTCAGTTTTGCGATTGAGCGTGCCTCAAAGACGGACACTAGCAAAGAGAAAATACGCTTTATTTTACAGTTTTTCCTCGATAAGGGCGAAACCGCATGTCAGGCGGCTGAAAATGTGATTAGCTTTTATGGTTCTGTTAGTGTTACAGTCGATCAGCACTATTTCGGTTTCACTCCGGTAATTTTGATGTAAAAGATGCTTCACGGAGTGTAAGGACAATTGCCGAAAATGTCGATAAAATCAGTAACCTTGTCGAGGCCGTCCGCCATTTAAGCACTGTTTCGATAGCACAAGAGCTAAAGATTGCACAAAAAACCTTTTGAAACCATTTGAATAAGGCTTCAGTTTCATGCAAAAATGATGGATTTCTTCTTAACACACCAGAGGCTATAGGTAAAAACCAATTATGCGAAGACATTGAACTTTTTAATGGAATTATCGCAGTTGCAGTTCAGTTCTCCAGCTAAAATCAGGGAAACGATAAAGTTACAGCCTCAATTTTTCCGAAAATGGTCAGTATTTCAACTTTAGTAAAGCCGTTACTGTTGACGAATCTTCGTTCTTTCAGTAAGACCCAGACCAAAACAGCAGTTCATAGTAAATTTATTGCGTTAAAAGTAATTTTATTATAATCTCTGGGTTCGGAGAAATGCGTCCAACTCCATATTTCCTAAAATAAAATAAAAAATTAAAATTAAAAGTTTTTAATATCAACAACGAGTTAAATAATGTTAATGCGGAACTTGATAAGCTTAAAAAGCAAGATTTCGTAGACTGTTTTCAGAAGTGGATTGAAAAGTTTAAGAAATGCATTGAAATCAATGGTGATTATGTAGTGAAGATAAAAGGGGATGCAGATTACGAATAAATACAAATAAACATTTTTTTTTTCGTCAACTTAACGAACTTTTGTTAATGCCCTTGTATTCAAAGCAGAATGACTTTCTCTCTCAAAGGGATCAAACGATATTCGGATAATAGGCAGCCGTATTGAAAACTGGTGGCCAAGTATGCCATCTGCCTTCTTCTGCTGGACGTATGAGATCGACGAGAGCTCGCAGAATGCAGAAATGTCCAGTTGGCATTGTGTAGATTGTTGCTTTAGTTACTAAGTCATAGCTAAACCCAGAAATCCAGTTTGATTTTAGTTGTCGGAATTTGGTTTCGAAAGTGTGCCAAAATTGAAATAAAAATCTAAACTATTCTTAACTGAAAATAGCATAAATCCCTTTATCCATTAGGGACTTATAAGCACAAAACAACAACAAAATTACACTTTTCTTGTCGATATAACAGCTATGCAAATATCAACAAAAAACTACGATGGTAAACACTCACGCTTGTGTACATATTAATACACATGAACTTATATAAATACATACATACACTGCATGTGTATATGCACACTCAGGTACTCATTTATAATCTAAAGCAAATCTTAAAATCAAATCAACTTCTTAACTGTTTCAATAGACGTGTCTTGCATAAGTAAACAGGGCAAATACATTTATTTCCACTCAAATTGTACTTACCATACAACAAACACACGCACAAACAAATGCAAATAGAAATGTACAAACAAAAGGTGAGGTAAACAATACAACAAATAAACTATTTGTGGTGAGAATCCAACCGGTGAGGACATGCCGCGGCGTGTGGCGGGTGAACACTTCAAAATCTATCGTCATTTATTTTTCCCCACTCACTTCAATGTGTTTGTGTATTTGTTTCGGTTTGTTTGTGTATTTGTATTTGTTACGTTTGCTAATGTAATATTATTTTATTTCTATTTTGTTGAAGTTGTTGGCACTGTGGCAGGTGGCAGGTGGCATGTTGACACTAAATGCAGCCACACTATTGTTGTTTACAATTCTTTTTAGTTTGCTTTGGTTGTTGGCTTTTTTATTTCACCCGTGTCTTATTTTTCTTTTTATTTATTTATTTATTCCTTATTTTTGTATTATTGGCTTGGTGAATGTGGTGGCTGTGTTAACATCAACTTTTTATTGGAGATTTCGGAAAGCCTTTGTTCTTTTTTTTTAATTTCCACTTTTATATAAAAATATATTTGTTTTTCAAAATAAATTAAGCCTGTAAAGAACAGAAAATCTAAAAACCTTCAACAAAGAAAATTGAAAAGGTTAGGTCCGATCTTATCAGACCGGATTTACTAAGACCTGACTTAGACCCATTGTGATACTACAAAACTTAAATCATGAGGCTTCATCCTCCATCCATTTTGATTCTCTAATGAACCTCATTAGATCCACTACTTTGACGACAGCTATCTTCGATAGACTATTCCGCAGCGAAACCTCTCCCTGCTTAAGGCAGCGCAGCCTATAAGGAACCCCTTGTCTTTCTGTGTGGCATCCTATTAGACAGTGGCCTGTCAGAACTCCTAAAACTTTGGACATGTCGCACCCATTTCGGCTATGTGTGCCTGCTTTTGCGGTTTGTCCCTGTGAGTAGGGATCAGCGTGAGAGACAATCTGTTCTGTTTGGCAATTTCCTGTAGAGATCGGCGGCAAATCAGCTCTAATTTGGACTTTAACGTAAGCGAGCCCAATGCTTTTATTGCTGCTTGACTGTCGCTGAAAATTATAGTTGTCAGGTTGCCTAAATGACAGTTCCATCCATTCAGTACGTGTATATTTCCAGGCTATCTTTGGAATATCAAATTTTCTGTCCTTTCTTCCTTGCTGGGAATTCGTATTCAATATTTTTGAGTGTCCCCATACCTGTGTAGGCCATTGATTTGACTTTCTTAGACGTAGT